GGGGGGAGCGGGTGGAGGGGGCTCTAATAGCAAAAGCAGTTGTCCTTTGTTAACAGCCAACAATTCCATGTTTAACACTCCTCTTGAGGGTCAAAAAGTTATCAGACACTTAATTTTCGCACGTCAGCGGAAAGTAGATTTCATGGTCCTTTCAATAAAGTGATAAAAACGGTAGGTATAAAATGAAAAAGTTTTGCACTCGGTCCGTTAGACCATGTCCTCAGAAAATGTCTGATATCTGACCTTTCCCGCACTGCCCTTTGACCTTTGACCTCCAATTTCTCGCTGGAGATGGATTTCCTTCCCATCACACTATACATCGAATATTAGGAGCGTAGGTTGAGCCGTTGAGATTTGTGCCGCAATTCCGTATTTCCTCCTATACCTTAAGTTAAGGGGGAAATATTCCCCCTCCATTGACACAGCTTGACCTTTGACCCTTGACCCCCAAATTCGACATCCCGAGTCCTTTTCGCGATCCCCCCGACGTCCCGAATATCAAGACCGTACGTCGAGCGGTTAAGATTTGTGCCCAACTGTTGACGGACGGACGGATGAATGGACAATCATGCGATTCTACAAGCTGCATCTGACTTTGTCAGCTGAGATAAAAATAATACAAAATTGCTGACTATGAAAATTTAGTAAATAAAAGTTTGCACCAACCTAGCAACCCTAACCTTTATTTCAATGCAGCCAGGACTTATCTAACCATGTACGTTTGCTTAGCTAGACAAATATGTTTCAAGAATTGATGATTGCGAAACGGCCACACATTTGCATCTTTCACGTCTGTTGGTGTATAGAACAGCTTCAGTAGTTCCCATCACAACAAAATGACAGCAAAAGTGGAGGAGTCTACTTAATTATCCATGTCCCTAATTAATGAGGGGAAGCTCACCTCCAGTATGTGACGGACAGACATCGGCCCGGGGTGTACTCGGCAATGCGTATAGAAGCACCCAGTCGCTCCTGCATCAGTTTATCCGCCTAAAAACATGAACGCAAACTGTCAGTGCCAGACACATGATGGCAGTGGGCATATTTACCAACAACACACGCACACCTTCGTCTAACATTTTTATTGCATGTGTAAATGCAAACAAATGATAAAAAACTTTTATTTCATTTTGAATCTAAACTGGTTAATATAAATAGTAGAAATTATAAATAGTGGCAAAATCTTAGATAGTATTGTCATCACTGACTGTCGTTACTGATAGCTACCTGGAAATTGAGTACTTCCAGCTGCAAGCTTTGGCAAAAAGAATCTGACAAATTATGTTAAGAAAAAAATCCAAGACAGGTAAGTACTCGTAATTATCATCCAGGGTTCACACACTTTCGAAACACTTCTCCGGGAGTTTTTCAGGATTTCATTGATCCATATTACATGGCCACGAGATTTTAGCCGCATTTAATCGCCGTGCCTGGTATGACCAATCAGCAATTAGTGAACAAACTCTTGTACAAACCAAAGTTTATTGTCTCCTGGATAAGATCCGGACCAGCACAGCCCTTGTTATCTCACAAATACTATCCAACACACTGTATTGGGTATATAATATAGTATACTATACAATATACTATATTGGGTCTATAATATAGTATACTATACAATATACTATATTGGGCATATAATATAGCATACTATACAATATGCTATATTGGGTCTATAATATAGTATACTATACAATATGCTATATTGGGTCTATAATATAGTATACTATACAATATG